TCTTTCTCAAAGCCAAAACATTGTGTGCTTACCTGGATCTTTGTTTTTCATGCTGTGCGTCATTTTGGAGATTTGTGGTATTGTTCGCGCCAGTAAATTAGCTTAGTTATTGAACCCTGACACTGTGCTGGGCCCTGACGGTAGAGCGGGAAGGCACAGCTCCCGCGTTAAGAATCTCATGGTTTTGAGGTAGCCCGGGAAACGGAAGGCTACTGTGCAGTTTTGCAAATGTTATGCTGGAAGCACACGTGGGGGTGTCGGGCAGCACAGAGAGGGAGGCATACTTCATCCAGACTGGCTGGGTCTATCCGGGAAGGCTTCCTGGAGGAGGGAGCTTGGGCTTCAGCCAGGATTGTAAAAGCATCAAGTATGGAACAATTCGAAGCTTGAAAACATGCCTTACTGGCCACTGATGGGATGTCATTTTGTTGTTGTAGGGACCTCGTAGTTTGAATTGTCATTCTCCCTGGCTTTAGGCCTCCCGGCTATGACCCATGATCCCTGAACATGTAGGCGAACGAGACAAGGAAGACAGCCTGACGGAACCAAGGGCGTTGTGCCCTCTGCCCCGTCTCTGTGCCACTCTGTGTTCCTGTTTGCTCTGAGGCCGGTCGCTGTCACCCCGAGCCAGCCTGGCCCTGGGCGGCCGGCCACGGCCGGGCTCCCCGGGAGAGAAGGTCAGCTGTTATGTAAGCTTCATCCATATTCTGGCTGGTGATAAGGGGTGACATTTAATTTTTTTTCCATTATGTGGAATAATTTAAGATTGTGTTACGAGTGTCATTATTATTGCAATTTCTCAGTAATAAAAACAGCATCAATTATTTAATGTCACCTCCTGTGTCTGGGTTAAGTGGGGATGGTGAGACTCGGGGCGGTGGGGTGGAGGGAGGCAGAGCCCTCGCAGAGCTCCGGGCCCCTTCTGTGGCCTCGGTGTCCCCGAGTCCCTTTGGGGGGGCTGGGGGCACGTGACTTCCCTTTAGATCCCCCTTCCCTTCTCCACTGGGGTGTAACTCGGGCCTGGCCTGAGCTCTGGCTGGCAGGGGACACCAATTAATTCTCTGACCTTTCCCTTGGCCCCTCCTCAGGGAGTTTTGACCTGCTAACAGACCTCAATTAAAGAGACACCCTGCCAGGCGCTGGGGAAGCTCGGTCGTCCCGAGTCCCCGGCCTGGATGAACAGGATAGGAGGTGTGTGACGTGGGTGAGGGCAGGCTCGCCATAGGCACTCAAGACATGGGTCGCTTTGCGTCCCCTGAGAGCTGTGACACATCCCGGTGGGGAAGAAGCGGGGGCAGGTGGACACGTGAACGGCTCCTGGGACTCGGAGAACCGGCCCCAGCTGCCTGCCGTGACATTTCGGGGCGCGGCCCACAGTGGCACTTACCCAGTTGTGCTTTGCGTGGGGCTGTGCTTTGCCACCATAGACCACATCCGGACACGACTGTGTCCTGGGGGTTACGCTCTAGGCTTTTCCTTTCGTGGCTCGAGAAGCATCAGTGAGCAGCCGCTGTTCCCCGCGGCTGGGACGGCAGACCCCGAGGAAGGCACCCGGACCTGATTTCTGGGGCAGGTGTGCGCGTCATTTTGGAAGCATTTTTGCTTTTCCTGTGAGGCATATTCCTGGGCTCCTCCCCCACCCCACCCCCATTTTCTTTCCTCTGTCTTTCCCTCGCTCTCCATCCCTCTCTTTCCTTCTGGAAGATGCTACTTATTCTCCAGCTCCTGCCCCCCTGCACGGCCTTTCCTGAGTGGGTGGAAATGGCCGTGTTTGTTCTGAGCCCCAGGGACTGGCCTCAAACCATCAGTGATGATGATGATGATGATGATGATGATTCTGTCACAAGAGGGCAGGTGCTCTCCCATTCCAGGCCCTGGTGGTGTCACCTCCCAGCAGCCCCTCCCTGTACGGCTGGGTTTGGGGTGGGTGGAGATGGATGGGGAGGAGAAGCCTGGGGTGTGGTGCAGAGGGAAAGGGAGACTCGCTGGGGAAGGAGCCTGTATTGGGCGCCTTGACATTTGGGAGCTGCAGGATGAACAGCTGCCCTGAACCGTCCAATGCCCCAGGAGCCCAGCTCGAACCGCCTGGTGCGGGTGGGACAGAAAGGGACTCATTGCCCAGCTGCGGGGCAGCCTCGCGGGCTCTCGGGACTGCAGGGGGAGTCAGGAAAGCTTGCGTTAGTCAGACGTTCGCCCTGGGAGGGTCACGCTCTCAGCGTCTTTGCAGGAGTGAGTGAGGAGGTGTGAACGGAACAGCTTGGCAGGGAGTAAAAAGAAAAAGGCCCAGACATGTAAGACAGCGAAGCCATCAAGGGAAGAGGGCCGTGCTGCCATCCGCCGGGCAGGAGCACACGGGGAGGGAGTGTCTTCCTGGGGTCCCCGTCCTCCAGTCCTTCAGCACAGGTCGAGGCCGTGCTATTTAAGGCTTCCGGAAAGAAATGCAGCCCCTCCCCCTGCAGATGGGGCTCCACACAGTGAGGGTGTGTCAGCCCTGAGAGCCGCCTGGCCTAGCAGGTGCTTCCTGGCTTTTCCCCACCATCACAGCCGTCCTCAGAAAACCAGCGACTCCTCTGGGGGGAGCAGGGAGCCGTGTGTTCCCAGCGTCGCCCCTGATCAGGGAGCTTGGGGGTCCCGAGCATCCTAAGTCTTGCTCACCCTCAGCACTGTTGACACTTGGCCGGATCATTTGTGATGGGGCTGGCCTGTGCCCTGGAGGGTGTTGAGCAGCATCCCTGGCCAGCACCACCCCTGGCCCTACACCGACAGACAGACGCCCATCGCCAAACGTCCCCTGCGGGCGGGAAACCACTGTTCTCGGTGAGAAGCGGAGGGTCTCCGGGCTGCAGCGGAACAGACAGCGCGGAGCACGTGACGGCCGCTGCGTGTGGCCGTGAGGAAGTGGCTCTCTTCCCGCAGCCTTCTCCCAGTCACGATCAGCCCCACAGGAACAGGAGGAGGACGCAGGGAGATCAGCTGAGCTGCCGTGCGGGCGAAGCAGGTCTTCCGTCACAGGCGACTCCTCGGTCGTCAGCGTGAGGTGCAGGGTTAGAAACGGTCGGCACGCAGACACACAAAGCTGCGACTGTGAGGCCCGGCGCAGCCACCAGCTGTCACTTGCGGTGACGAGGGGGGTTCCTGCAGGGGGAGGCGCCGGCCTTCCTCAGGTCCCTTCTGTCCCCAGGACTCCGTCCATCTGTAGTGTCAGTCTGAGTGTGACAGGCTGCCTCTTTGTGCTTCTCCCAGCGACGGAGCAGGTGACAGCCTGCAGGCCCTACCATTCTGCAGGGAAACGAGGCTCCCCCCCTTTTAAAGCAAAGTTAAATGAGGTGTCTGCACCCTTCTATGCGTTAGGGAGGACATTGAGGCTAAATGATTGGGACAATATCAATGTATCGGACCAACGGGAAGACGTAGAGGAAGGGTTGACGTTTTTGCCCGTAACATTTAGTTGGAAAGAAAGAATGAAAGGAAATGTCAGAGTCATTCCGTTCCCCTTCTGAAAGAGACTTACCCAAGAACAGAGTTAGTTGGCTCGTAAATGGCTACGTCTGGGTGACCGCCCACACCCCCCCTCCCGGACCAGAGACGCGTAGTTTTAAAGGGAAACTTCTGTTCGGCTGGAACTGTTTTTCCCGGTTTTCAGTGAATATCTCCCGTCTTTGTGCTCATCGAGGTGATTCTGTTCACCTTCCCTTAGCATCCAGGTGTTTGGATGGAAGTGGAGGTGTTTGTGTTGGTGGGGTCACCCCTCTTCCTCGTTCCCCTTGAGGTCCTGTGTGTCAGTAAGCTGTCAGCAGGGCCGGGGGGTTCCGGCCGATGACACGGGAACAGAGGCTCACAGCCCCATTCTGCATTAATCTGTTTGCTCTTTTTATTTTAATTTATTTATTTGTATTGATTTTAGAGGAAGGGGGAGAGAGAGAGACATCGATTAGTTGCTCCACTTATTTATGCATTTATTGTTTGCTTCTGGTATGTGCTCTGACTGGGGATCGAATCTGAAACCTTAGCATATGCGGGGGGGGGGGGGAGGGGGGGGGAGCGGCGCTCTAACCAACCGAGCTACCTGGCCGGGGCCATCTGTCTGCTCTTTTGTTTTTTAAATCCTCACCCAAGGATATTTTTCCATTTATCTTCAGATAGAGTTGGAGGGAGGGAGGGAGAGGGAGAGAGAGAGAGGGAGAAACATAGATGTGAGAGAGATACCGATTGGCTCCCTCCCGCATGACCGCAACCAGGGCGGGGAACCTAACTGCAACTGAGGTACGCGCCCTTGACCAGAATCGAACCCGCGACTCTTTGGTCTGCGGGCCGACGCTTTAACTGCTGAGCCAGACCGGCCAGGGCCTTCTGTTTGTTCTTGACTGGAACCTAGGAGCTGGGACGTGGCCTTGTTTTGTTCACCAAGTACCCACCAGGTTGGTGGTCAGTGGGTATTTGTTAAGCACATGTGCCAATCAGAATGAAGACTACCTGGTAAATGCACAGACGGTCGAGCTGGTTCGTGCCAGACAAAGCAGAGGGTGACACGGTTGTCTTCAGCCATCTGGACTCACCTCCCCGTGTGCTGTGACCTCCGCGGTGCCCACCGCTCCCCTCCTCTGAGGGGCTGTTGGGATTACTTCCCCCTTCTGACCCCGTGAGAAATGGGGATGTCTTAAAAAATGTCAACTTTGCACCTGCCGAAGGGGCTTCTGACAGTGCAGGGCTGAGCCGGGGTACCCTCTGCCCTGTGGAGGGAGGTGTCGATGTGTCCTTCCCATTGCTAGGATCAGCACTGACCCCTCAGGTCCTGTTTCTGTCACCCCGAAAGTTCTACAACCAGAAGCTTGTCCTCTTCCTAACGACCCAACCTGCTGACAGCTGGGTCTGGCCCAGGGACTGGCCGGTGGCCCCGTGCTCTTGGCAGAGCTGGGCCAGCTGCCCGGGCAGCTCTGAGCTGGAGGGGCGTGGGGGAATGGAGGCCGTAGAGGTGTTACAGTGACTGCTTCTTGTTTCAGGGCGCAGCAGAAGACCCCCAGACGGCCCTGGCACTGAACTTGGACCCCGCGTTGATGAAGAAGTCTGACGCCGAGGGTCCCCGGCTGTTCTTCCCTAAGAGCGAACTTTCCATCCGGATAGGTAGAGCTGGGCTCCTTTCAGGCAAGCTCCCTCCTGCTGCAGACCCCGGCTGAGTGAGGCAGACTGGGCAGGAGCGGTGACGGGACAGGCAGGGGCTCTGTCCTGCCCTTCCGAACGGCTCGCCCCTCTATGCACAGGGCTGGACTGCATCCGGCCCGGGCCCTCTGTCTCACTTACTCTCCAACCCCCTGCTTGCTGCACGGGAGGTAACGGTGCCTCGCGATGGTCTGTCCAACTGGGGCAGTGGACAAGAACCCCTCTGATGGGATCGGGCGGACCGGGTTCGAGCGTGTGGGCATCTGTGCCCTATCTCCCCGTCTCGGGTGGACCCCGGACGATCCTTCCCATGTAGGTGACTCTCCTCTTTGGTTCATCTGGGAAGCGGTGGCCATTTCGCTCACTGATGAGGTGTGGAGCCCGAGAACCTAGCAGCGCAGCGAAGTCACGCCCTGAGTTAGAGGGGTGCCAGTCCCCCGAGGCGAGGCTCAGGCTGGGCGCGGCCCACTGGGGCGCTGAAGGTGCGCCAGAAAGATCGCACTGTTTTCCAGTCTCAGTGGGAGACCCCCCAGCCCCCGCGCCGCCCCGTCATCGCTCACGCGGGGCGTTTGGCTAATTGACGGGCCAGTTACGGGGAGGAGAGGCGGGTGCCTTGTTCTTCCAGTCGAAGTCCCGCAGTGGCCCTGCAGGCACAAGGCTCTGAAACCCGTGTCCCTCGCCCTCCCCACCCTTCTGCGGACCACAGGCTTAGGACCTAAATCCACACAAACGATCGAGAGCGGGCGCCTCCTGTGCGTGGTTTCCCAGTTCTCACTGCGTAGAATGACCCACGTTCCCACGGCATCCTGCGTGGATTATTCATGGAGAAGGCGGGTGTCTTCTCCACTGGGGCTGCCCCTCACTGCCAGTGTGAGGTATAATCTGGAAACAACAGTCCCTCTAACGTGAGCTCGAGCTAAATAGTAGAGGCTTAGCGGCCAGTCCCCCTGCAGTTCCTGCTCCAGTCGGGACGGCCGAGGTGCCGTCTGCTGTCCTGTCTTGGAGCACCCACCCGTCTGGTGACTGGGAGGCCGGCGCCCTCCAGCCGAGTGCGGCCTGTCTCACGGTGAGTTGGGGGAACAGGCAGAGGGCTTTCCGTCCATCCTCCGTGGCTCTACTGGGCTAGCAACCCTGGGTGCCCCCTGGAAGACTGGCCCCAGTCTGAGCCTTCTCGAGGATGAAAAGTGAGCGAGGTTTTATGCTATTCCATTTCCCCTTTGTCCTAAGGCCCTGGGGGACCAGGTTCAGTGCCCGTCAGTCAGGAAAGGTAAACAGTGGTTATCATTTCCATGGACCTTTGGGAACACAGGGCCAGGACTGCTGGGTCTGCTCGGCCACCCAGGGCGGCGTGGGAGGGAGACGCAGTCCCGTCCTCTGCTCAGGAACACCGAGACACAGCTGTTACCAGGTTACCAAGCAACCCTCGGTTGCTGTTGCTGTTTAGATACAAAAGCAAATGCAGCCTGGGGGCTGCGGGGGGCTGGGGGAGCTGGAAGATGGTTAACCATCCACCTCTGGAAAGGTCTTCGTTCTCACCTGGGCTCCCCTGGGGGCGCCAGGCGGTTGAGGCCTCAAACGGGCACCGGCTGCTTGATGGCTGGCATCTTGCAGATCAAGCCTGAATACGCATTGTCTGTACCATCTGGGTTTGCCCTTAAGCTTGCTGTAAATGGGGCAAGGAGATTGGTTTAATGGGTATTTAGTGAACAACATAAGCCTTTAAAAAATAATATCGGCGCTGCGGTTATAATGTCCCGTAATTGGTTCAGTGAAAGGAAAAGCCAGCAGAGCTCCTCTGTGGGGTAGATGGTTCAGCTGGTCTCGGCGCGAGCTGGGAAGAGATTTCATGAGCTACTTTCTCATTTATGTCTCTGAGCAAATGTTCTACCTTGTCAACTATTCTCAAGGCTGGGGCTATTTTAGGACTTGGCTGGACCAGAAGTTCTTCTAAAACTATCAGTCTTTCTCCTCTCTCTCTCTGCTTCTCTCTTTTCCTTCCTCTCTCTCTCTTCAACTATTTATCTATCTCCAACTAGCTTTCTTTTAATTAAAAAGGTAATAACAGATTAAAAATTACCAAGTAATTTTTCTTCCAACTTCCAATTCCTTATGGTCCAGGCTTCCACCACACACACACACACACACACACACACACTTCTAGCTTCTCTTACATCCTTTCACAGATGTTGTGTTTGACAGTTACACTTGACCCCTTGGTCTATACCTTGTCTGTTTCACTGGTCTTTGTTTTCTGGGACACTGGTCGGTTCATCCTGTTCTTGTTGTTGGCCACGATCTCACCTAATTTGTTCCCCTTTAGCTTTCTATCTTGGGTCTGTATAAAGAACGTGGCAGGCCCTGGCCGGTTTGGCTCAGCGGTTAGAGCGTCGGCCTGCGGTCCGGAGAGACCCGGGTTCGGTTCCCGCTAAGAGTATGTACCTCGGTTGCAGTTTGTCCCCGGCCCTGGTTGGTCGTGCAGGTGGCAGCCACTCGATGTGTCCCTTTCACGTCGATGTTTCTCTCTCTCTCTCCCTTCCTCTCTCTCCCTCCCACTCTATCTGTACAAAAAATGGAAAAATGTCCTCGGGTGAGGATAAAAAAAAAAGAATGTGGCAGAGTGTTTTCAGACGCACATCTCTGTGGGCAGTTAAACTGTGGAGTGAATTCTAGAAGTGAGGCCAAGAGTTCTGTACATCTGGGGTCCGTGGATGGGCACCAAAGGATTACCCTTTTGACATTTTTTGCAAAAAAAAAAAAAGCATTCTGGGAAGGCAGAGTTCTGGGGCTGCCATCACACTGCAGATGATCCCATGCCCCAATGTTCATCCGGTCGTGACCCTCACGGTGTCCACCTCCCTCACTCAGCTGCCCAAGTGGGTTTTCTTTCTCACTGCACTCTTGGCTGCAGAGGGTAGTGAAAAGTGAATCATTCCACTCTTTTACGAATTAACTGCCCTGTTTCAGTATATTTGTTTTGAGAGAGGCAGTTAAAACTCTTCAAGAGCGAGGGCTTTTGTTTATTGGCCCATTAGCGTGGCAGATGGAGAATTGTCTGTAATTTTGTATAAGTGTGGAAAGATCAGGGGTAGGCAGTGTTTTCCCGCAGAGGAAGAGGTGGGTTTAACCTAGGGAATTACCTAGCTGTGAAGTGGCTATTTATTTTCCTTAAGTCATTCCAGAGCTTGTTGGGGTAAGAAGTGAATGGGTACTTGAGTCAGGAAGACATGAGCTGTCAGAGACTCTGTTTGGAAACCAATGTTTTCTTAACATTTTATTGATTGATTGATTTTAGAGAGCGAGGAAGGGGCGAGAGAGACAGAGAAACATCAACTTGTTGTTCCACTTATTGATACATTCATTGCTTGATTCTTGAATGTACCCCGATCGGGGATGGAACCTGCAACCTTGGCGTCACCGGATGATACTCTGACCAACCGAGCGACCCAGCCAGGGCCCACTGTGTCCTTAATGTCCTATTCTTTTATAGTCAGAGAATTCGCCTGGCGATAATTCTTCCTAGACGACCTGGCAGATTAGAACCCGTGGTTGGTGGAGTGGAACGACGCAGACCTAGGGTTCAGTGGGTTATGGATGTGGGTAAACTACCAGCACCAGCCCGTTAGCAACCTTTGCATCTTGGTCTAAACTCGAGTTCCGTATGGGTTATGCTACTGACTTGCTGGGGGGCATCCTCCTGTGGAAATGGACCTGATCGTGGTGGAGAGAACGTGCCTTTTCTAACTCCAGTTCCCACGGCCCGAGCCCCCGGTCCAGCTGTTGTTCTGCGTCGTCCCCCCTCCTCTGAGCACCCTCATTTCTCCTCCAGGTGTGATGTCCCCTTGCAGTCTTGTACTTGGAATCATTCCTCCCTGTTTGCCCCCTTAAACATCCTCCCTGGGGTGCCTCTGGGAGATGATCTCATCAGCTGGCGAACGCGGAGGTCCTCACCCTCGGCCGCATTTTGCACCTGCTTATGTGCCTGCATTTCTGCTGGGGACAGTGTCTCCAGAGGCTTGGTGGACGCAGCAGGTGGGCTCTCACACTGGCTGGCGTGGGAGTGCGTGTCGGTGTACGTGTGGGGCTGCGAGGGGCAGTCGGGCTGGGTGCCGTGACCTCCTTGGGAAGACACCCACCTGTTCTCTCTGGGAGACCAGCCACGTGACTCAACCCCCCAGCCCTGGATTTCCATGGCACTGAAATGCCGTGGCACTGAAATTTTGTGGTACTGAAATACCGTGGCACTGAAATTTTGTGGCACTGAAATTCCATGGCACTGAAATTTTGTGGCACTGAAATTCCGTGGCGTAGCTGAACACTAGGGAACCGGAGAGGACCCTAGTGAAACAGCTCCAAGGGTCCTGTGACCGTCACTGTTTTCTTCTGTATTTTCTGACTGTCCAGGTCGCCCTTGAAGGCGAGGTCCCTTCTGTTACTAACATTTCCAGCATAGTTTTAGTACACTTACATTTGATCAAGAGTCAGATGCAGCTTCTAGGAGAAATCCCGAGTGTTTGTTATAACTAGGTCTCCAAAAGAACGCGTCTGGAGAAACCTCTGGGACGTTAGTCATGTTGACTTTTTATCGGTAAGATCTCTAAAGATGAAAGACCAATTCTCCAGTTATTTTTATAGATCAAATGTCTTGGCGTGTGGTTCAGCATTTAGACTCTTTTCTCCCTGCGCCCCCTTTCCTCCCCCTGTAACTAGTTAGTTCGGGGACATTTTAAAATCTTCTCCTGACCTAATTGAGCGGAGTTGTCTGGGGATTGAAAAGAGACAGGTCCTGGCATCGCTACCTCCTGTAACCTGGTTTCTTCATTAAAAGGTTGGGAATGAACCAAACTTGTCAGTACATGGAAATGGCTCTGAGGCTATTAAACTGTGCCGCATTTTAATTCAAAAATATTTGGCTGAAAGATGAAGAGCAGAGTGTTCAATAATGATAATTACCAGCTCTTTAGCATCATGGATGTTAAATATCATCC